GGAAGTATTTTAACCAGTGAACCCAATTTTTTGTAACGTAGTGGTTAAAGATGCTGGGGAAAATAATGATTCAAACCATGATTGCAAAAAACTGTTCCAGTGTTAACAGTTTTCACAAGTTTATCAATTAAAGTGAAAAATATAATTTTAATATTTAAACAATATTTTTTTTTGTTTCAAAATACTTAAGAAAAACAAACAGAATTAAAAATTGGTGCTTGTATAGTAGTGTAAAAATAAATAAATAAAAGATTGCAAACTGGTCAACATTTAAAAAAGATTTCTTTGCACAGTATAAGACTACAAAATTTGGCGTTTTTAGTCGCAGTTAAAGTCTGCTAACAAAGATTTGGCAAAGAAAAAAACTTTAATTTTAATTGCAATTAACTTTAATTTTAGGTTTTTGGTCTATAGTAACGGCCGCCAGGTTTCTGGTGATGTAGATTCGCTTACACAAAGTTTGAAACTTTTGTAAATTCTTTATAAACTGCTCGCTATTATTAAAAGTCAGTCTGGAATCCAGACTCTAAACTATGTATGCTTGCGTTCATTTTCACTCGACGCTTTTTTATCTATTATCTAATATTTTGGGTCGTTCAGCTGCCGACCAAACAAAATATATCGTTGGCCCCTCTGCTGTTAATGAAAACATTTTTTGTAGCCAAAATAATTTATCACATAATTTTCAATTAGTAATGCATGCTCAAACTCTGCAAAAAGGTGACACTTCTATTGTCATCACAACCACTTTCAGAGAAGAGCATACAAAGGTGTCACTCTATTGTTTGCATTTAGTGAACCAGACAGCTTTTATCAGCTTGCAGAAGAATCAACACCAGAACATACTGAAGAAAATTGACAAAGGTAAAGGGGTGGCAGCAACTTCTCTGGTAGATTATCTGCCCACTATTTGACCTAGTGTTGTCACGTCATGATCAGCACCTGCACCTGCACCACCGCAGTGGTCACCGCCACCACCAAAGACACACCAAAGAGGGCAGAAGCAAAGCTGTGCTGGCGCCAGTGTCACGAATCGCTGACCATGCGGCTAACTAGCGACAGCTAAGCAAGATAACAGATCACAACGGAGAAAACTAGGACGACCAGATCGGTAGTAGTACTGCTACTAAAGAGTAGGCACTGTCACAGTCACCAGTGTTCAGTGCAACTGCTGAAGCTTCTTCAGCGGTAGTGCCACCACCACCGAAACATTCATGCACTGGTCTTCGCAATGCGAGTTGTACAACACTCAGCCAGTGAACTGCACTACAAATTCTCCAGCCACAGCTGTGCCACCACCACCACCACAACGGTGTCACTACACCGCTCTTCATCGTTCTCTCTCCCTCTTTCAACTCTGTCTTATCAATCCCATGCACACAGTGCCACTCTACTTCCAGTGCTCAACAACATCGACGGTGATAGCTGCTGCTGCTGCTGCTGCCAGTGCTTGCTGAGACAGTCAATCGAATCTGCACTCTGCTCAGTGTCTGCCAGTGGCGACAGTGACAGTGACAGACTATCGACAGGCACAAACTCACACATTTGCACAGGAGAACACACACACAGCCAGACATTCTCCAAAGTGGTCGATATCAGTGTGTGGACAGCGCCTCAACAGTGCGTGCCATATCCAGTGGTGATAGCAGACGACGACGACGACAACAACAACGAGGTTATTTTGGTTGGCTGCTTGCCCATGAAACACCAGTTTTGGCTGATTTAGGCACATCATCCTCATCACCCTCATCCTCATCCTCCTCCTCACCGGTTATCAGCGCCATCATCGGCAAATCATCACCTCACATCTTCTGCTATTGTTCTGCGCCGTCGGTGGTGGTGGTGGTCAGTCAGTCGGCGTTAACAACACAAATTGCTCCCTCCGCGGCACTTCTCTCTCATTTGCCGTTTTGCCGCAACACCGTCAGCATCAGCAGCACTGACACTTTCGCTGTCACACACCTTTCTGGACAAAATCACTCATCGAGACGAAGTGTGCCTTTCTGGTAAGTTGGTCAACAGCCTGTTTGCGTTGAGTTTCAGTTTTTGAAGTTGCTTCCTCCATTACCTCCTACCGATTGCACTCCCGTTATTTTCAGTATTGCAACACACACACACTTTTTGCGTAAGTGGTCACTGCGCTGGCTAGCTGTGCTGTCAGTCGGCGTCACTTCCTTCCTCGTCACTCGCTGGTTTTTCAGCAGCAGCAGCAGTTGAAACACAGTTGTAGCACTTCTCTCTCTCTCTCTCTCTCTCTCTCTCTCTCTCTCTCTGCCAGGCATTCTCGTGCACCTCACGAGTTGAACCGGCTTTTTGATGCAGAACCGCCGCTGCCTACATGCTTGCCTACATGTAGACATGTTGTGGGCAGCAGCGGCAGCAGCAGCAGCAGCAGCAGTAGGCAATTTAGCATCGCCCATTGATAAAGGGATTTTGCCTTTTCCCTCGCTGTTGTTGTTAGCCTGTCGCAAATTGTGGTGGTCTGCGCTCGAGGGCTAGCCCAGCACAGCAAGTTCGCTTGCTTTTGATTCGAATAACGAACAGACCACTTGCGTGCATGCACTTGCTTGTTTGCATTGTTAGCAGTCACCAGTTCTCGCTGCCCAAATATATAAAATGAAGAACCGGATTGTTTAGTTGAACAACTAGTTGATTAGTCGTGATAGCAGCAGCAGCAACAGCACTGCCCGCACCAGCACCACCACCGCATCTTCACTTGCTCTGTAGCCTTGAACACAGGCCTTGATTCTTCTCTTTTACTGAGTGTGTAAGCACTGGTTTGCCATTTGCTGCGCTTGCCTGCCGCCGCCGCTGTCAGTAGTTGACCACTGACAATTAGCAACCCCCTTTCTAACTTCATTTTTTATTATTACACATTCCTTCCTCCCTTCTCTTCTAACTCTCCTCTTTCTCTCTTCCCTTTTCATCCCACCTTTTCTCCCCTGCCTGCTGCTGGCCTGCTGCTGTTTGTTCGTTGCGTCCAGTTCCTTCTGATAGCAGCTCGCCTTTGAGGGAAAACTCACGTTCATTCCACGTCAAGTCGTGTCCAAGAGTAGACGGCAAAGCTTGTTCAGTGTAGCAACACCGACCGACCAACACCCTTGTACTCTACCACCAGCACCGACTTTTAACCATTACCCAAACCGAAAAGATGGCCTCCCAACAAGTGAAAGACGTTGCCGCCGATCAGCTGAAGTGCTTCAAGGATCTGAACCTGGGCGCCAAGTGTCAGCAAAATGTAAGTCTCCACTTTTCTTTTAGTTCACTGGCACCAGTTTTTTCTTTTTGCTTGTCATCTATGTTAGCGAGTGCAACACCATAGGTTATTGTCCCTAGTATATACTGCTAATTTTAGGTACTACCGGTAATGAGGTGAGCTAATGAGACTCGATCGATTCCTCAATTGCAGTGTCGATTGAACTCTCTCTTTCTCAACTGAACTTTTTGATTAGACGACTAGTCCAGCTGCAAATGAGGCCAAAAGGTTAGCGTCATGTGCTGTGCATGTATTCTGTTCTTCCTCTTTCTTCTTCTTCAGTGCCATTGCCCGTTGTGCGTCCCTTCGTTTGAGGACGTGTACAGCGACCAGACCAGACCAGACCAGACCAGCATTTGAAGGTTGCCAGGGCGACCACGTCGACGACCACCACTAGTCATGATGATAGCCGGCAGTAATTATTATCTGTGTGTCTCTGTGCATATAGTAGTTTTTATGTGCCACTCAAGTTGGGACGCTTAGAGACCGACATTGTGCATAGCCATTGTGGTAACGTTTCCAAAGTTGCGGCGTTTCACAACTCCAAACTCTCCACTACTAAGTTTAGATTAGGCACCACTTTTATGTTGAATATACTTTGCAAATGTTTCCCACGCACTAAGTCAAGTAGTGGAAAAGTACAGTGTGTGTGTCTCTACTTCTACCTGTGCCGGCAAACAGTGTAATGCTTTTTTGCTTAGGGGGGGGGAGACGCTGCTAAAAAGCCTCAAGTGCAAAGAGTGCACAGCAATTTGATAGCAGGTGTGTGTGTGTGCCTGCAAGTAGGCAGACAGATCTGGTAAAACTGAACCTTGAACCTGTTGAGCGGTGCCAAAGTCTACCTGCGTTAGTAAATCACTACAACAACTAAAACATTTTCAATTTCCAAACTTTCTACCAGGCCCCGAAGTACACCACCGTCACCGGGAAGGGCATCGCCGACAAGGGCAACTCGCTGTCGGTGGGGCCGCGCGGCCCCCTCCTCCTGCAGGATGTGCAGTTTCTGGAGGAGCTCGCCCAGTTCGACCGGGAGCGCATTCCGGAGCGCGTGGTGCACGCCAAGGGCGCCGGCGCCTTTGGCTACCTCGAGGTGACCAGCGACGCGCTGAGCAAGTTCACCAAGGCGAAGCTCTTCAGCACGGTGGGCAAGCGCACCCCGCTGGCGATTCGCTTCTCCACGGTGGGCGGCGAGGCGGGCAGCGCCGACACGGTGCGCGACCCGCGCGGCTTTGCCGTCAAGTTCTACACCGAAGATGGCAACTGGGACCTGGTGGGCAACAACACGCCCATCTTCTTCATTCGCGACCCCATTCTCTTTCCCTCCTTCATTCACACGCAGAAGCGCAACCCGCAGACGCACCTGAAGGACGCCAACATGACCTGGGACTTCTTCTCCCTCCGGCCGGAGACCACCCACCAGGTGTGCTTTCTCTACTCGGACCGGGGCATTCCCGCCTCGTACCGCGAGATGAACGGCTACGGCTCGCACACCTTCAAGCTGGTCAATGAGGCAGGTGAGGCCGTCTACACCAAGTTTCACCTGAAGACGAAGCAGGGCATTCGCTGCCACGATGTGGCCACCGCGGGCCGACTTGCTGGTGAGTAGTTTTGGAGAGAGAGAGAGTTAACAACTAAAACGATTGATTAACGGTTGGTTTTCCGTTTATTTGTTTAGGCGACGACCCCGATCACACCACGCGTGATCTGTTCAACGCCATCGCCAACAAGAACTACCCCAAGTGGGCGATGTACGTGCAGATTATGACCTTTGAGCAGGCGGAGAAGTTCAAGTACAATCCCTTTGATCTGACCAAGGTCTGGTCGCACAAGGACTTTCCGCTGATTGAGGTCGGCGAGGTGGTGCTGGACCGTAATGCGGAGAACTACTTTGCCGAGATTGAGCAGCTCGCCTTCTCGCCGGCGAACATGATTGCCGGCATTGAGCCGTCGCCGGACAAGATGCTCCAGGGACGGCTCTTCTCCTACAGCGACACGCACCGCCACCGGTGAGGAAACGCTGAAAAAAAAATACCAAGTGGTTTACCAAGTAGTACTAACCTCTCTCCTTTTTGTAGCCTGGGCGCCAACTTTCACCAGATTCCGGTGAACCGTCCCCGGTGCCCGGTGATGCACCCCACTCTGCGCGACGGTCCTGGCTGCTTCACTGACAACGGTGAGTTGTGATTATGAAATTGGATGGGGGGCAATTTCTCTAATCATCAATGTGTTTCCAATGATTTGCCAACTAGGCGGCGCTCTGCCCAACTACTACCCGAACTCCTTTGCCGGCTTGGTGGGCGACAGCAGCTGCAAGGAGGCCTGCCAGAAGGTGGCCGGTGATGTGCAGCGTCACGACAGCGCCAATGACGACAACTTCGAGCAGGTGACCAGCTTCTGGACTAATGTGCTCAGCCCCGAGGAGCGAGACCGCCTGGTGGCCAACATTGCCGGCCACCTGGCCCAGGTGACCGTGCCGGCCATTGTCGAGCGCTCGGTGGCCAACTTTGAGAAGGTCCACGTGGACTTTGGCGCCAAGCTGCGCCTCGCCCTAAACCTCGTTAAGGTAAGTGCCAGTGCAGGCCGTTGATTCGACAGGCCGTTGTGTTTGTTTGGCATGTTTTTGTTGTTTTGTCAATAGTTACTCATTTTTTGTTTTGTTTGTTTGTTTGTTTTTCCCTTTCATTGCCCCTCCACAACTCGTTTGGCACAGTAATTTCCGTTTACCAAATATTAACAAGAGTGCACGCGCCCGCAGCCGTCCAGAAACACCTTACCAGCAATATTGCCACCTGTTTGTGACACCAAGTTTATAATGTCCTTAATTTTGAACACCTGAATTTAGTATTTGATATCCGCATGAAGGCCAATCCTTTTTTCCCTTTTAATTTTCTTTATTATCGTTGATTTCCGCCACAACCACTGCACAAACCAACCAGCATGGCACGAAAACCGATTAGCTTTGAAAAGTGTCACACTTTTTATCACTTACCAGTCGATTTACCTGATNAGGCCAATCCTTTTTTCCCTTTTAATTTTCTTTATTATCGTTGATTTCCGCCACAACCACTGCACAAACCAACCAGCATGGCACGAAAACCGATTAGCTTTGAAAAGTGTCACACTTTTTATCACTTACCAGTCGATTTACCTGATGATGATTGCCTCTGCTAATGATTTGTTTCTATTTTCAAAATAAATTCAACTTTCTTAATAACACATTTTTGTTTTTTCTTGTTTTTCTTGTTGTTTTTCCCCTTTTGTGTCTCTCTTTCTGCACTAACCGATTATTGACAGTAGCCAGCAAACCAGACGATAGATGATGATCATCACCATTATAGTCATCAGCAAAGACAGCTGCAGGAAACTCACTCTTCAGTGACCACTGCAGCAACTCCGCTAAAAGGAGTTGCGAGGTTCCTCTTTGCTCATCGACTCTGCTCATCGGTCAACTGCACCTCTAGGACTGTTGCCCACGATGAGGATCATCACTGCAAAGGCAGCGACGGCGAGGACAAACGACTGAAGCCGTACAAAATAGTACAGTAGAAAGAGGGAAGCTAATCTTGTTGTCATGTTTTCTCACTAACTTTGTGTTTTTCATGTTGTACATCTTTTACCATTTACAACTAACTGCATCATTTGTCTTTACGTTTACTAAAATAAATGGCCCTAATGTTGGACGGCAGTAATGATGTTTACATCTGTGTTTGTCTTTTTCTTCTTTTTACTTCGTGTCAATTAAAATTGATTTTTCATTTTTACAGGCAAAGCTTTAGATGAATCATCTTAAAAGAACAAAAACTTTTTACTTTATTTTACTTTTTCATTTGATTTTATACCTCATTTTAATCAATTTCAATTATGTAATTACATTAACCCTTTTTATACAGAGTAACTGAGTGGAAAAACTTTCTAGGTTTTTCAAAAGTTGTACTTTTGTAAGTAGCGTTTTGCGCTAGTGTACATCATCATCATCTATTTTTACTAACCAAATATTTTTAGAAAAATCATTTTTTTTAACCCTCGTGTCTAACTCTTTTAAACTAATAGATTTAGCAAATTTCAATCAACGAAATGGCTTTGATGTCTTTATCTTCGATGAAGGAAAGAGTGCTGTGCATTTTTTTTGTTTAGTGCACGAACATTAAAAGGAAATCCAGCTTTAACAACTTGAGAACGTCATGCAGGACCTTTTAGCCGCTTCATTCCACTCAAACTAAAGGGAGAAAGACCACTGAAATTACCAGCGCGTGCCGCCAACTGTTTAATCCTTTAGAAGGGAGATAAAACGATTGAAATAAGCGTAAAAATTCTGCCTGTTTGGTGCCTCATCAGACAGCCATGCGGCCACAAGTATTACCAATTCTAATTAGACACAGTCTGAGTAATAACAAGCACAAAAGACTGTTTCTAATCAGCAGACGGCAGTTGGAATGAATGCTAATTAGCTGTGAGAGGGAAGAGGAGGAGGAGGAGAGGGTGAAGGAAAACATGAGGAGAGGATGTTCACAGTGCTGTTGCACACTCGGATCAGTGAATCCCCTCTTCTTCATTTTACTTTTTCGTCACCTCATCTGCTGCCAATCGTGGTGGTGGCTTGCTTGACACAATGGATCGATGTGAGAGCGGTCTTGAGAAATGACTGCTCGAGGCTGTTTCTGCCCCCTTTTCTTCTTCAGTTTTTGCTGCTACTTTTTTTCTGCCGGCGTGTTGGTCATCCTTCTAATGACCAGTAAGTACTGGCAACTTAATCACTGCACAGATGCATTAGCTAATTGATGTCCTCTTGGCGTATTCTTCCTTCCTTCCTTCCTTCCTCTATCGACAGAAGTGCTTGAAAAAAAGAGGAGATGGGAAACGATGAAGATGAGGGTGATGGCAGTAACAGGGTAGAAAGAGGAACTTGATTTCAGTCTGGACGTGAAAGAAAAGAAGTTGCCTGAACTTGAGAAGACAAGCCCAGATTATTACATCTTAGTAATTGGTGAACCCGGCTTGCCTTGTGTAGTCCAACTTTGTTTGCCTTCAATTTTGATAGGTTAAATGCACGGGTTAAAATTAACAGCGCACAACTACTTATTATTACCGGACAGCGCCAGTACTCTCGGTTTACAATGTTTTAAGAGATAGAAAATGGCAACAACATTTTGAAATTGGTTTTGTGTGGCAATTACTGCGAGACTAGAGCTAAACTCGGGCGCTAACCTCTCAACTACTGCTGCAACACACTCTTCTCTTCCTTCTTCTTCTCTTGCCCTCTTGTGCCTCTCACTTGTGCTTTTATCGATGCCCCAACGTGGTCTCACTGTCCAAACTGTCTGCGATGCTGGTGGTTGATGATCGGCAATCACCGCCATCACCAGCTGTTTCCTGTAACACCTGCTTGCATTGCCATTAGCTAGTCTGATGCAGCAGCAGCAGCAGCTCTGTTGTTGTGTGTCCTGAGGTGGTCAGATTGTGTTTAGACTGCCGTCTGAGGTATTACCATTCATCTTTTACTTTTTTCTCTCTTACACACAATCCCAGGCAGTTACATCTTGGTTTGTCCGCATCAGAGCTCACTCTCTTCCCACCATCATCATCCTCTTCATCATCGACTTCAGCAGCATCAGCATCAGCAGCAGCAGTGTGTGTATTATTGCAGTGTGCCTGTGTCATCTTTGGCGCACGCACCTATTGGAGTTTAGATTTGCAGGCAGGTAGGACAGTCGGTGATTCTAATCGATCGCTGCCTTCAAAGGTACTCTGCCTGCCTGGTGTGTGCTTGTTTGAATTTGCTTTGCCATTCATCAACCTGAGAACATCTTTCTTTATCTTCCTCTCTCTCCCTCTTACCTCTACCAGTACGTCGTCTACAGCATTAGCCTCTATTCTCCTCTTTAGCATCCACCTTTTTGGCAGTGATCGTTCACAGGCGATTACACGCGCTAATCGCAGTCAAAGCAGACAGTGTCAATGGCGAGACAGACTCGCTGCCATTGCACTACTCTCTAAGACCAATCAGAATCGCTTTTTTTCAAGTTTCAACAGCAGCATTCAAGCTGAAAAAGAAAAAGTAATGTCACTAGTGCACTTTTCACTAGTGCACACAAGTGGGCCAAGTAACGGTCAGTAAACAGTGAAGAAGGAGTTTCCTTCTTTGAGTGGCTGTTGTATCTGTTTGCTGACCACCACCACCAGCACCAGCACCATCATCACCATCACTGAAATCGTCGATGCATGTCACAGGAGAAGAAGAAGAGACACCATTGAGGGCTAGTGGACGACGACACTGACCACGACCACGACCACTGCCATTGCTGTCCCATTCTCATGTAAGTGTCGTACTCTTTTTCTTCTCTGCCATGACCACCACTTTGTGTTCCACTTTGTTGCCTTTGATTCAGTTACAATTTCAGTCACTGCACTGCAACTTGACTAGCGTATGCAAATGCAAAAAAAAATGATTTTCTTTTGCTTATTAAATGTGCTCGTTGCAGCAGGCTAAAATGATACACGCTGGGTTTTAAGTGCAAAACAGTCTCTATTAAAGCATTCACTTGAAGGTAATGCACCGGCAGACTGCTTTTCTCTAACTAACTATCAGCCACCAAGATTAGTCGCCGAGACGCTCTTTCTCTTTCTCTTGACAGTCAAATAACTGCCATGCCAGTGAAGCGCACCTAATGTTGTGACGGTAGATCTTTATTCGCTGGGGCTCCTTCTTTTGACCTTTCTCCCACCACCACCAC